GGAAGTGGAGGTGGAGGAGAAGCATTTTACTGCTTCTTGGAAGGTGAGTCACCTTCCATGAAAATGTCAGGAACCTCTGGACTGACGTGAGTCACCTTCCAAGAAAATGTCAGGAACCTCTGGACTGACAGATTCTCCAGTAGGAACATCCTCTCTCCTTGAAGTGGAAGGCTGAGGGGTAGCATCTTTTTCCCACTGCCTTTTAGTGAAGAAACTCAATTTTTGTTTGTGGGGCATTTCTCCTCCTCATCATTAACTGATTTTTGAAGGAGGAGACCACTGTGTCCTCAACATTACACAAAATAGGTTCTGTTGTTCCACATCTGGGTGCCTTGAAGCCAGTTTCCTGAACTTATCCCAGTAGTGAACAACATCTTTCAAATCTGAAGTAGACATATGGTCATCACTTTCCTTTTCCTCCTCACCATTGTCAGCCTCTAACATCTCATCCAGTTGCTGCAAGTCATCAGGAGTAAGTTCCTGCTCATGAGACATCACAAGCTCTTCCACATCATCCTCTTCCACTTCGAGGCCCAATGACTGACCAATGGACACACACACTGCTTTTTCCTCAAATCCCTCAAAATCATGGACTGCTGATGGCCACAGTGCTTTCCATGCAGAATTGAGGGATCTAATGGAGACTTCTCGCCATGAGGACACAATCAATTTTACAGCCTCCAGGATGTTAAATTGTGTCTTCCAGAACTGTGCCAGTGTTAGTTCAGGATCAGTGGAAGTTGCCTGATAACACCTGAACATTTTCTTCATGTACAACCTCTTGAAGTTGCTGATCACATTCTGGTCCATTGGCTGTATGATTGATGTAGTGTTGGGAGGCAAAAACAACACTTTGACAAAAGTCAAATTGAGCCTCCAAAGTGCTGGCAAGTTCAGGGTCATGACCAGGGGCATTATCCATAAGGAGAAGAGCCTTTAAAGGGAGTTTATTGGTGGTTAGGTAGCTCTTCACAGAAGGGCAAAACATCTCAACAGCCCATTCATTAAAAGCTGTCTTGTCACCTATGCCTTACGGTTTGACTCCCAATAAACTCAAGCTGTCCTCTTGCCACTTTTTGTTGCTTGAACACCCTGGGGTTCTCAGAGTGGTAGAAAAGCATAGGCTTCAGTCGGAAATCCCCTGAAGCATTAGCACCAAGCAATAGAGTGAGACGGTCTTTCATGGGTTTATGCCCAGGTAAAGAGGCTTCATCTCTGGTGATGAATGTCCTTTTGGGCATTTTCTTCCAGAACAGTCCATTTTCGTCCACATTGAACACTTGCTGTGGAAGATAATTTTCTTCATCCACCAGTTTCTTAAAGTCCACTACAAACTTTGCTGATCCTTCTTTATCTGCACTTGCAGCCTCACCATGCCTAATAACACTGAAAATGTCTATTCTTTTCTTAAATTTTTCAAACCAGCCCTTGCTGGCCCGAAAATCTTCAAATTCTGTGCCTGAAGAACCAGGTTGATCTTCCTTTAAATGTTCGTATATTTTCCTGGCTCTTTCACAAATAAATTCAGTAGAAACTGAATCACCTTTCATTTGCTTTTCCCTAATCCAAATGAGAAGTAACCTCTCTGTTTCTGCTATCAATGATCCACCTTTAAACAGTCTGGTAGATTTGTCTCTCAGTTTCACTTCTTTGAACTTGTCTTTCTTTGCAAGAATTGTCGACACAGTTGATGCCGACATGCCATAGTCTTTACTAAGCACATTTGTTCAAATGCCCTGTTCATGTTTCTTTATTATTTCCTGTTTTACCTGGATTTAAATAACTTTTCTCGATTTCTTTGGAGCCTTGCTGGATTTGATTTCAACACTGAAATTTTAAGTTTTATTGCTGTGAATAAAGAATATTTACTTGAAATAAACGCTGCACTGCGCTATATATTACCAATATGTAAAATATATTTCCAAATGACCAATAATTTGACTGGAAAAACAGAAAAAAGCGTTTATGTTGAAGAGTCTCAAACAAGATGTACCTTCCACTGAGCCGATAAACAAACTGATGTCAAGCTTGGTGTGTTGAGTGGCTGTTTGGCGCGCGAAAAACTAGTTTCCTGTACTTCAATTTTGTTTAATAATTGTTAAAATGACTAAAAAATTTAATATAAAACTTTTAAAATTATTGAATAGTACAACCTTCTTGATATTTACTACAATGGTAACAAATTTAAACCCTAGAACCGATTACTGTATTGGCAGACTAATACTACAGCTGGTGAGCAGCCGAATGCAAGCAAAAACATGTTGGGGGAAATTCGTAAGGAATTCGTTAAACGAAGTGAAGAATCTTATGGAAGGTATTTCGTTAACTGAGGGATCACTGTAACGCTCTCAAGATAGTTTAAATTTGCTGCTCGTATTTGCCTGGCAGTGGAGTCGTGTGTGATGCCTGGTCAAGTGTTTGTAAGTTATTACTATAAAGTTGCATTCGTATCAACATCAGCGATTTTAATACTATTATTAATAATAATTATTATTATAATAATGTAATAATAAAGATTATTACTACTAATTATGAAGATAATGATAATGAAGTATTCTGTACAACAACTGTGACGACGTCCAGCAAGCTCCCTGCGTATCGCTTCACACCAGCACTACTTTTTCTCTGTGCTCTCATTTGCATTGTGTGTTTATCACATACATTTTTAGTGTTAAACGCTGTTTTCCCCATTGACCATGTCTGGAAAACGTCCATCTGCCTCCTCTGGGGCGCCTAAAGCTAAAAAGGCACGAAAAACAATCGCAATGGACGTGAAATTATATGTGATGACCCGCTTTCAGAAAGGAGAGCGTGTGTCGGAGGTTGGCCTCGTGTTTGGTTTAAGTGAGAGAGCATGTCGGAGGTTGGCCTCATGATTGGTTTAAGTGAGTGTGTGTGTTGGAGGTTGGCCTCGTGCTTGGTTTAAGTGAGAGCGTGTGTCGGAGGTTGGCCTCGTGCTTGGTTTAAGTGAGTGTGTCGGAGGTTGGCCTCATGCTTGGTTAAAGTGAGAGAGTGTGTCGGAGGTTGGCCTCATGCTTGGTTTAAGTGAGTGTTGGAGGTTGGCCTCATGCTTGGTTTAAGTGAGTGTGTGTGTCGGAGGTTAGCCTCATGCTTGGTTTAAGTGAGTGTTGGAGGTTGGCCTCATGCTTGGTTTAAGTGAGTGTGTGTGTCGGAGGTTAGCCTCATGCTTGGTTTAAGTGAGTGTTGGAGGTTGGCCTTTCGTGGTTAGTTTAAGTGAGAGCTGGCCTCTTGCTTGGTTAAGGAGAGAGTGTGTCGGAGGTTGGCTTTGGGGTTACTTATGAGAGAGTGTGTCGGAGGTTGGCCATGCTTGGTTTAAGTGAGAGAGTGTGTGTCGGAGGTTGGCCTCTTGCTTGGTTATGAGAGAGTGTGTCGAGGTTGGCCGGGTTAGTTTAAGTGAGAGTTGTCGGAGGTTGGCCTCTTGCTTGGTTTAAGTGAGGTATGTCGGAGGTTGGCCCGCCTTGGTTTAAGTGAGAGCGTGGTGTCGGAGGTTGGCCTCTTGCTTGGTTTAAGTGGGAGAGAGTGTGTCGGAGGTTGGCCTCGTGTTGGTTTAAGTGAGAGCATGTGTCGGAGGTTGGCCCTGGGTGCTTGGTTTTGGTGGAGGTTGGCCTCTTGCGTTTTAAGAGTGTGTCGGAGGTTGGCCTCATGCTTGGTTTAAGTGAGAGTGTTGGAGGTTGGCCTCATGCTTGGTTTAAGTAAGGAGCGTGTTGGAGGTTGGCCTGCTTGGTTTAAGTAAGAGAGTGTGTCGGAGGTTGGCCTCTTGCTTGGTTTTAAGGAGAGAGTTTGTCGAGTTGGCCGTGTGCTTGGTTTAAGTAAGGATGTGGTAGGAGGTTGGCCTCATGCTTGGTTTAAGTAAGTGAGCGTGTCGGAGGTTGGCCTCATGCCTGGTTTAAGTGAGAGAGTGTCGGAGGTTGGCCTCATGCTTGGTTTAAGTGAGAGAGTGTGTCGGAGGTTGGCCTCATGCTTGGTTTAAGTGAGAACACTGTTCGTACCCTGTGTGGTATAAGATGGTTCCCCTAACCTGTACCATTTACATGTATTCTTATGGGAAAATTATGTTAAATTTATGCTTTTTTAATTAAGCGGTGGTTTTCAAGAACGTAACCTCACGTAAAACGAGAGGTGGGTGTACAGAGGTATCTCCGTTAACCGGAACAATTGGTGCAGAGCACTTCCAGGATTGAGAGATATCCAGGTAACGAGACAATTCTCTCAAAGCCGGAAAAACTCCCTCATCCCCGAAATATTCCGGGCAATGGAAAAATTTTCTCAGAAGTCCCAGAAATTGCCCATTACATCATCTCTCGAACCCAGAAAAATATCCCCTATCCCCAGAATTTTCCGGGTACTGGAAAATTTTTGTCGGAATTTACAGAAAATACACCTGATTTTCATCTCTCATCCCTGGAAAAAAAACCACCCCCATCCCTGGAATTTTGTAGGTATCGGGAAAATTTTCTCAGAATTTTTCAGAAAATGTGACCTTCAGAAAATCGTTTCCAAAGCCAAAATTTTCAGGAAAATTTTGGCTTTGGAAACGATTTTCCGAGAAAATTTCAATTCTGGCTATCAGAGAGTTCCAGGATTGGGGGATTCCAGCTAACGGAGATATTACTCGTATATCTATAATTATTTAGAGATATGGGCTACACTGTATCCATTATGGCATGATTTTAAAAGATAAGTCATACACAGGTTCAAGGTTGTTTCTCTTGTTTGCTGTTAACCCCTTTATTAGGGGGACACCACTTTTAATATTTTTGCTTATGGTAGGCAATTTTATTCGTTTCAGAGGGGTGAGCGTACACAAGAGAAAGATAGCTTTTTTTTCTAACAGCTTTACTAGATTTGTTTGTATTGATGGCATATGTAATATACTCAGTTAATATGATCTTGAATCTAGTGGTATATACAGTACTGTACACTGAATTCTCAGAAATAAATTGTAATTTGTTATTATTAATTGAATTCCTTCTTTTCAGTGCACATTGGTTTCTTGCCATTATATGCTTTCCTGGCTTAGATGGTCCTGTGCGGATGTCGGACGGTCAGCCAGTTCCTCTTCCTGTTCCAGATAAATCCAAGAGACGTAGATCCACCAGACCAAAAAACAGGATAGAAGTGAGAACTTGTGTTTAAAAAAAAATTCTTGTGGAGTAGTGCTCTAGGTGTTGGTTACCTTAAATAAGGGTCGTTTATAGATTGCTCACCATAGAAAAATTAATCTTATTCTCTTTTTTTTATCCCTTCCAGGTGAGGGAATCACAGCAAATCAATGACGATGGCAGAGAAATTAACACCAGAAAAAAGAATCGGTTTAATATTCGTGTATAGCAAGCCAGATGCTACACATTTGTCAATTTGCAAAATAATTTTTTGACAACATGCTGTATGGGTGTTGTCGATTAAATACTTGTGTTTGTGTAGCATTGGGCTTTCCATACATGAATATTAATCTGACTCTCCTTTAAGTCAGCAGTTCTCAAACCACGGGTCGCGAGCCAATTTTCAGTGGGTCACGATGACCTAGCAAAGTTATGCTTTTGCCTGTATTTTATTAAAATTCTGGGTCACCAGTACACAATGGGAGCCTTCAACCACATTGTTTATTGCTAGTTGTACCTGGCTATTAAACTGCTAGTTGATATGACAAATTTGATTTTACAGTTAATTTTTTGCATTTGAATAAATGGGTCGCAAAGTTTCTGAGATATTTAGAAATGGGTCGCACTTGAAAAAGTTTGAGAACCACTGTAGTGCAAGTGATTATTTCTCTGCCATTTTCAGTGGATTATTATGAATTCTTCACTTAAAAAAAAAAAATCCTATGAGACAACACCCTGTACAGTAACCAATTAACATTCTACATATGAGTTATATTTTCTAACAGGAATACAATGAGTTTTCTGTCATAATGAGTTTCTGTCTGCTGCTATCCCATGTCATTTCTGCTCTTTCTTTAAGGTATGTTGTGCCCCCTTATTCACCTCACTCAAAAGATAGGAGAGGAGTAAAGGTACAGTCTGGTTTCACAAATTCGTGTTTCAGAAGTCCGGTTTCTGCAAATTCATGCATTTTCATTAGCGTTCCCCAATCACCATGTTTACTGCTTGTCCATGTTCGTATGAGGAAAAAATCATTACAATACTCTAATGTTGGTTATAAATAAATAAAATATATGAAACTATAAAATAAGAAAAATGAAGAACATGGGTGTGCATGTGTGTGAAGTGAGCGTATTTGTCGAGGCAGTGGGCTGTAACTGCATTGCGAGCCCAGCCGTGCTCCCTGACTCCCTCCCTCAATGTGACGTCACGGCATACACACAGCACAGCGTGGCAGCAGCCACACTTCTCTGAGTCAACTGGGTGGCTGCCTGGCTGAACTGTGTCACATCACCCAGAGGATAGTTGAGTGTGGAGTGAGCTAAATTTTTTACATAAAATATATGTTTTTATATTTTATGATATCCTATGTATCAATTTTATAGTTTATCATAGCAATTTTTTGCTCATTTTTGACAATGTCATTTGAAATTTTTTAAAATTATGTGAACCTTGTGCTCATTAAATCGTTTAATTCTGAACCACATCGTTAATATAGTGGAATAAGTGTTAAAGAAGTGTCCAATAAATAACGCATTGATGGATAAGTTGAAACAATAAAGATTGATGTTGTACAGTACAATTAGATTTAGTGTTTTTAGCAAATGAGTACCATGTTTTTAATGCTTATTCCATAAATCCGTGCTTTTCGGAAATTCGGGCATCGTGGGATACCAATTACAGGCATCCCCTGGGTTACTGAAGGTATGTGTCCTTGAAAATTTGTCCGTAACGCGAAACCAATTTTCCCATTGACTTCCATTATATAATTGGAGATGCATTCCCAAGGAAATATATTTGGCAAAAAGACATAATACAAACACATTTATGAATGATTTTTTTTTACACTACATTGATTATTTTATGATATAATATGATCATAAATATACAAAACACTTGAATTTAACTTACCACAAACGATGTTGAGTGTTGCGTTAGGTGAGGTAAGGTGGTGCTATCAGGTTACTGGGAGGGAGACAGGGGGCACTTCTGTCTCCTGCCTCGCCCTGTACAGTATTGTAGCAATCGCCAAGAAATCCACACAAAATAAATTTTATAATTTCTGTGATTTCTTTCCAATAGTATTGAGGAAAAAAAAAATTACCCAATTTCCGTAAGGGCGAATTTTTTGTCCGTATCCCAAATTTGTTGGTCATAATTTACAAATTTCGTGAAAGCGAATTTCCGTAATCAGAGTTTCTGTAACCCGGGGGATGCCTGTAGCACAAATTTGCGAGGTAATATATAAATAGAATAATGTTTGATGAATAGAAAGAGACGTCCATTGAGAATTTATGAAGAGAATGAATCAAATCAAAGGAGGCAGTAGGAAAATAAATGGGTTGAATTATATGGATGTGAAATATGGACATTGGGTGCAAAAGGAAGTCAATGTTAGAAACTACATAAATGATGTGCTTCAAACCAATATGCAAATACAGTGAGTTCTGCTATAACGCGTGTTTTGACAACGCGAATTTGCTCGAACGCGATTTATGAATTGAGGAACGATATTTGTAAAACGCGAACTCGTTTGCTCTAACGCGATTCCACTCGAACGGTTGTTGTGGCTTCAGTTCACGTTCGACATCACATGTTCAATTGAGTTATGTGTTTTGTTTGTGAACAATTGCAGAAATAATGTATGTAATATTTATGTATACAGTATACCTATATATTATAAGTAAATTGTAAAATTTTACATAAAAGAGAAAATCAAATTACATAGCGTTTTACACCCGCGCTCTCTCTACATCACACACAGTGTTTACAGTTCATGTTCGACATCACATATTCAATTGATTTATGTGTTTTGTTTGTGAAGAATTGCAGAAATAATTTATGTAATATTTATGTATACAGTAAACCACTCACAAGGTCCTACAGTACCATTAATTATTTTATACTGAAACTTACGTTTGGTAAGCTGGATTAAAATGAAGATTACCGGTATATTAAAATAATAAAAATGTATTATAAACCAGTCTAACATACCGTAATAAACACAGCTGCTATTATCATCCCCCCCTCCCCCATTTGCCAGTGACAAGAAAGGGAAAGTGACCTTGACTGTGACCGCCTGTGGCTATTTTTAGCCATCCTTGTGTTCGGAGGTGGTCAGTAATGCATATCTGTATATTTACTGATCATAATACTTATCTCTTATAAATAATTCATTTAAAATTTATTTTTTTGCAAAGAATATTCAGTAAATGACTGCATTAATTCTTGAAACTACCTACAGTGGTAAATTTAGGATATAAATAATGAACAGAAGTCACGTCATGGATTCGGAGTTTGGTCCTTAACGATCACCATAAATGTAGCCTCCCTTTTTCGCGAAACACGTATATAAATTAAAGAAAATACTTGCAGTATATTTAATATATTACAGTATATTATATATAAATAAATAAACAAATAAATTCAAATTCCTTATCATCCTGTGTCATATACAGAAATACTTGAGTCCCTGAGCGAGTACACAAAAAGAAAACGGACATCCTGGAGTGGATAGAGAACGGACATCTCTACTGGGGGACTCAAACGTTTCTCATGTTTTGTGGGCGCTCTAGCATAATATGAATAATATGTAAATTACAATTTACATATATATATATATATATATATATATATATATATATATATATATATATATATATATATATATATATATATATATATATATATATATATATATATATATATATATATATATATATATATATGTAAATCCACAATGAAAACGTGGATAAGATAAATATTGATAAAATCACACGGGAAAATGGAAACAACGGAGTACCTTAGCTTTCGTCTTTATTCAAGACATCTTCAGAGGCAACTGGGTTACATGGACAGAGAGAGGCTTAAATATACAGGGTGACCTAAAAATATAAGGTCAGGTCATAATGATGACATCCACTAATCCGCACACCAACACACACGTAGAGGAGCTTAAGAGAAGGGTGGTGACGTGACTAGACAGGTCAGGTCAGAAAAAAGGGACCCACAAAATAACTATCATACATCAAGATCAAAGGTTTTCAAAGCATTTTTAACCTTGGGCCACTGACAAATAAATTTATGTAACATATTATCAGTTTTGAACTGACCATCACTTAGGTTTATTGATTTTAATTCCTTAATCAAACTAGCTTCAACCAGAAGTCTTTCTCTGACACAAGATGATTTAAATACTTCTAAGCTTTTTTCCCAAGCAATGGGGTGATTATTATTCCTAACATGAACGAACAAGGCACTGCTTTCAGATGCAGTTCTGATATTATACTTATGTTGTTTGATTCTAAGCTGCAGTGTTTTTCCTGTTTGTCCTACATAATTACAATTACATTTGCTACATGGAATACAATAAACACTTCCATTTACATTCAAACTTGGGCTATTTCTTATTAACATATTGGTAATGGTTGAGTCATACTTGAAAACAACATTCATTACGTAATGAATTTGTCCCGTTAGTTCGGTCCCTCAAGCTTCTAAATATTAATATTGTTTTCAAGTATGACTCAACCATTACCAATATGTTAATAAGGAATAGCCCAAGTTTGAATGTAAATGGAAGTGTTTATTGTATTCCTTGTAGCAAATGTAATTGTAATTATGTAGGACAAACTGGAAAAACACTTTTTTCCACATATACGCGGTGAGTGTCCGGCTCGAGACGCTATTTTTAGATTTGCCCCACCCGCCACCCTGCCTGACTGCCTGTTTTAGCTCATAAAATTCATACAAATTACCCTGCCAGAATATAATTTACATTGCTGGAATTCTTATAATTTGGTGATCATTTTGAATATAAACATCATATATTTTGTATTAGACATACAAATTTTAGATAAAAATTTTTCTCAGAGTAACTATGTTATCTTTTGTGCAAAATATATGACATTTATATTCAAAATATTCCTGGTCTTACAAGGAATCCAGCAATGTCAATTATATTATCCTAACTTTAGTTTGAGGTATTATTTATTAAAATTTAGTGGTTATCCCACACATCTCCTTGGGACGGTTGGTGGGGGGTGGGGGGGAGGGAGGGACCGACCGACCATCTGTTACCCCGTGAAGAATTATTATTATTTTTTATTAACTGAAGATATTTGTTTTAGCTCATAAAATTCATACAAATTACCCGGTCTGAATATAATTTACATTGCTGGAATTCTTATAATTTGATGATCATTTTGAATATAAACATCATATTTTTGCATTAGACATACAAATTTTAGATAAAAATTTTTCTCAAATTAACTATGTTATCTTTTGTGCAAAATATATGACATTTATATTCAAAATATTCCTGGTCTTACAAGGAATCCAGCAATGTCAATTATATTATCCTAACTTTAATCTGAGGTATTATTTAATACTAAATGTTAAAAACTCTGGAAGGGAGGATTGGTGGGGGGTGGGGGGGAGGGTTGGGACTGACCGCACGGTTGGAAGAGGGGGGGAGGCAAGGTGGGGTACTTTGATTGACAGATAGTGTCGTGAAGATTATTTTTTTTTTATTAACTGAAGATATTTGTTTTAGCTCATAAAATTCATACAAATTACCCGGTCAGAATATAATTTACATTGCTGGAATTCTTATAATTTGGTGATCATTTTGAATATAAACATCATATATTTTGCATTAAACATACAAATTTTAGATAAAAATTTTTCTCTAGGTAACTATGTTATCTTTTGTGCAAAATATATGACATTTATATTCAAAATATTCCTGGTCTTACAAGGAATCCAGCAATGTCAATTGTATTATCCTAACTTTAGTTTGAGGTATTATTTATTAAAATTTAGTGGTTTTCCCCCAAAAATTTCTCTGAGAGGGAAGAGCCGGCAGTGTAGTGTGAGAGGGGGAGGGAGTTGAGTCCATTATTTGAATGGACATTAACTTGGCGACTGTATTTCTCTATTTCTCTTAAGTATTAATTGTGTGCATGTACCATCATAAAATTAAGATGTTATTTTTACTACAACATAGTGTATGTGTCTTCAAAAAGTGGAGTTTGGGGGTGGGGCTGGTTTCTATTGGAATTTAATCCCATATGTTCTGTTGTTCACTTAACGCGGATTTCACTTAACGCGGGACCCTCTGGGTTCTAATTGACCGCTTAAGTGGGGTACAACTGTATATATATATATATATATATATATATATATATATATATATATATATATATATAATTTGAACACCATTCCAGATTCCTGTTATTGATGATGGGGAGTGGAGTGACCGAGATGAAGCCGAGGGGGACGAAGATGAACTGGAGGAGGATGAAGAGGAGGATGAGGAAACTCCCCCCAATAAGAAAAGTAAAGTTGAGGAGCCAGGCCCTGGGGAGACCCAGACTATCAAAACTGAGACTCCATCAACCATCAAACAGTGAGTCATTATCTCCAAGGTGTTTTCTAGATATTTAGGTAAAAATGCAAACAAGTTTTCAAGAAGTTGGAGATCAAGGTGTTCTTGGCTCATATTGTGAAGCCAAGATTGAAGCAAGACAAACCACTGTGGTTCTAAGTGATGAATTGAATACTTATATATTTTGGGATTAACAAAGGTTAGGTCAATGTACTTGTTTTTGCAGATGATTCACTATCAGGATTGCTGGTGTTTAGTTTAAAGATGATGTCCTTGAAGAATTCGTGATGGCGTCTGGTGTTGATGAGAGTAACCACGGTCAACCACTTGAGGGGTGATGGATGGCGAACCCGATGAACTTGGCGTTCACTGGTGTCGTCAGGCGATCATGTGAGGTCACATAGGTTAATGCACCTTGGAGCTGGTAGACCTCTTGGAGTTGATTGAGTATGACAGGTCAAACAGTTGGCCTGTACTAGATGTGGCTGGTTCCACAAAGAATTTACAACACTGTTTTTACACTTAGTTAAACAACTTGGGAAGTCTAACAGGTATTTGTCTCAACCGTGCCTTGGGCACAGGGTTGTACTGTAGCTGTATGGGTTGGTTGTTCTTTGAGAAGGGAAAAAAAAATGTACAGACAGCGTCTCCACAACACTTGAGAGTTGGGGACAGTGGGTGTCTGAGACGTTGGAGTCTTTGTAGTGATGGATACTCCCACGGCTGGCTAAAGGAATGTACTGGGTCACGTAGGCCTGTTCCTCGGCATGGGGTGTTGCCATACTACAGTGAATTATTGTTAACTCGCTTATTAAATGTTATTGAGAAAATAATTTTTTTTTTGTCAATCTGGGATGACATTTAAATATATCACTTGACATATAACGTTGCTCACGAGAATATATTTGGTATATAGTCTGTTGCCTTGGAGAATGACACTTAGAAAATTTCACTGTTACTTGGGTTACAGTGATGTCGGTTCCTTGCACAGTTAGTTTCACTGGCTCAGTTAATGGATCTATCTTTTGGCTGCCACCTTTATATATAAGCTTTGGGTAGAGTTCCCCTAACTTGGCTTATATATAAATAAGTTGAGGGGTTAAGTTACAAACCCAAAATGGTCTTTTCTCCATTTATTGGTAAAACTATATTGGTCACAGTCTATTAATAGATGCACCATAATTAACACTGTAAGCTGTGAGTGTTAGTTAAGGACGGGGGCTCAGCTTGGCTGAGTTAGGTCACCCGTCTGATTCTCGTGAGATTCAAGTGAAGACTGGTGCAGTGAGGGGACGCTCTGAAGGAGAGGCTGGGCTAACCCTACATTCTCAAGGTCGGTGGACTGATAGAGGAATTTCCCCTCACGTGATCAGCACATGGCACCTCACAGCTTATGGAAAATTACAGTAGGGTGATTGGATTATATAAACTAAATGTATTAATCCAAATTTATATAATTGTTATTGCCATGAGACGGGCTAATACAGACAAACCACTGTGGTTCTAAGTGATGAAGTGAATACTTATATACAGGTATTTTGGGATTAACAAAGGTTAGGTCAATGTACTTGTGTTTGCAGATAAAATATTTTTTTTTTCCAGAAGCAAGTTGATTTATCTCAGATGTCAGCTGAATATTAGTTGGCAGTTACTTTATAATGGAAATGCTGAGTTTCAATCAATTGATTTATTACAATGGAAACTCATTTGCTTTGTGGTGTAGTTAATATAAAATGTTTGAAAAGCTCTTAGATTGTGTAAGTTTGTGAATTACAAATGAAAATATTTCACTTGTGGAATATTGTGTGTTGGTACAGGTTGGGTATCCTTTTTCTGAAATGCTTGGGGCGAAGGGTCTCGGATTTTGGAATACCTATATCCTGGATATGGTACTTGTATAAGGACGTAGCTCAACCAGTGGGGTTGGGGCCCCAAGTCTGTTCACAAAATTCATTTATATTTCATTTACAGCATGGGCATATAACCTGCAGGTTTTAATAATTTTGTGTATGAAATACATAATAACATGTACAGTACAATGAAAGACAAAAAGTGGGTGTCGTGAAATTTGGTGAAAACATATGCCAAAGGGTTAAACTTTTGGTGCACTCTGCCTTGTGATAGGGGGCTCATAATGTTTCTGAGTTGTATTTAATCTTTGGACAAAACCTCGACGCAACTTTTGTCTTTGATTATACACTAAAGAATCAGAAAGGTAAGGAATCACTACCTTCTTTTCGGCATCGCTATGACGACTTTACTTTGAGGTGCTAAGCAGCCTGTGTCTTACCTTTATTTGTTACATACAGTATGTCCTCACTTAATGTCAGAGTTATGTTCTTGAAAACACAACGTTACACGAAATAATGTTAAGCGGACCAATTTACCCCCATAGAAAATAGATGAAATACAGGCGTCAATTTAAAGCGATTCAATTTAAGATTATTGATTTAAAGCTTACACCCACAATGTATTAAATGATTACTAAAATTTTTGTCTAGTGCAAACTATAGCATGATTATATTCAAATTAATCACTATCTTATAAGAATTCCAGCAGTGTAAATTATATTCTTCCCGGTCACTTCTGTGACTTTTTATAAACAAAAAACAAAAACTCAATCTGAAGGACATAAATAAACAAATAAATACATCACTAGACCTTCGTCCAATTGTCAAACTGTCATTGTCACCATCGTCCTCCTCCCCCCCATCTTCCCAGCCAGGGTTGGGTGGTTATAGGCTTACAGTTTTTATCTTATATAATATCACAGACTAAAGTTAGAAGAATATAATTTGTATTGCTAGAATCCTTACAAGACAGTGAAATAATTTGAATATAGACGTCATATATTTTGCACAAGAGATAAAATTTTTAGCCTTTTGCAATAAAATTAATTAGAACATGTCAGTTCAGTGACATTTTATAAGAAAAAACCTAGTCACGCTTAAGGACAGATAAATAAATAAGCACTAGACCTTGGCATCAACTGTCAAATGTATCACCTCACCTCCCTCCCCCCTCCATCTTCCCATGAGCTGATCACTAGTAAACAGGCCATTTCACGTCCCATAATTTTAGCTGTGTTGATTTATGAGAGTTTGTTTTAACATAATGCTACAAAAAACATTGTTTTGTTTATTCTAGGAGATGGGCTGAGGTGCATCTGGGTAGACTGTCAGTATTTTATGTCACCTCTTACAATTGTTAGGATTACTATTGTCATTATAGAGAAGAGAGGTGGAAAAGAATTGTTTTTATTTAAACACGGAGTTTAAGATGTGATAAGATTAAAAGGTTATGTAGCTGCAGTGTATTGGTGAATTTAGAGGTGGGGATGGTAGGAAGAAGATGGGAAGACCAAGAACAGAAACATGGGGTAAAGGACACACTAGAAGTGAGGAGAATGGACATGCTGGAGGCAGCGGTGTGTATGAACAATACAAGAGCATGGTGTGATGGGTTATGGGAAGGTTAAGTAATAAGTAAATGACAGCAAATGAAGGTTTGCATTTGGTCTTGTTTCTGGCCACTCTGCAATATAGTGGGAAAGGTCTTAGAAGAGATTTTTTTAAATTTTTTTTTTATATATACAGAGTATGTAGGTTAAGGCTTATTGAAATAAATTACTGTAATAGGTTATGGGCATCATTTAAATTTTATTTTATTTGACACAACAGTTTTCATTTATATCAAGTAACAGTTGGGAGGGAGAGGGGTTGAGGCATCGCATGACAACACAACTCAAAGTTATTTATTTTTGTTTTATTCAGGCCGTGTATTTTGATCTTTGACTCTCTCACCGGAGCAAACCGAGCCAGTTGTGGCAACACAGAGACTATCTCATGGTGGAGCACAGAATAAGAAAAGGAACGGAGAAGGCCTACAACCGTGACACCATGAAGGGTGCATGCCCTAGAGTCCCACAACAAATGAACTACTCAGATTGTGGTATCTACACTTTGCAGTTTGCAGAAAGCTTCTTTGAGGTAAGAGCAGTGATATATATTGACCAGAAAATATTACAGCAAACCTTCGACTTCTGAAGGTATGCTGTTTTTCAGGTGACTAAAAATATGGAATTCACAGAAATGGAATTCAATAATGCCTGGGATGAAATGGGATATTTTCTGACTTAAGTTTCTATGTTATTCCATTAAATTTAACAATAAATCAAATTACTGCAGTACAGGAAGGATTTATGCTATTTGTATACTATTTTGGAATGAGTGAAAGATTGACAGAATAATCAATCTTTGGCAGAACCAGGATGGTATGCAGTGGTTAAGTACAGCCATGGATTTAGTATTAATGTTTATTTTATTTTTTTATTTTTACCTTGTCTTATTTTAATTGACATTTTCTTGTGTTTATTATGTCATATTATATTGGCTTCTAAGAAGTTGAAGTTGGGAGGTGGCACAGGGAACCACTCGCATTGATACTTACATTGATACAGTATACAGTAGTCCCTCATCAACCGTGGGGGTTAGGTTCCTGAAAAACCCCGTGGTTGGTGAAACTAAAGGCTTATGGGAAATACTGGGCTAGGCTTCATGGCTACGGATAACACTTGTCGAAACCTAACTCAGTTCCCTGTTCCTTCACTAAACAATACCTGTATTGTACATTTAATTAAATTTAAGTCGAATACATAAACAGCTTAATATATAAACTAAATATATACAGAGATACTATATTTCCATTAGCTGGAACAATTGGTACAGAACACTTCCAGGAAGATTTCCGGGTAATGAGACAACTCTCTCAAAGCCGGAAAAAATCCCCATCCCTGGAATTTTTTGGGTGCCGGAAAATTTTTCTCAAAAGCCATCTCTCGGACCTGGAAAGAAATCCCCCATCCCTGGAATTTTTCCGGTACCGGAGTTTTGTCGGAATTTGAATTTTCCAGAATGATGCATTATTTCAGCTCTCAAACCTGGGGGGAAATCCCCCATCCCCAGAATTTTCCAGGTTTCAGGAAAATTTTCTCAATTCCAAAGCCAGAATTTTCCGGAAAA